ATTATTGGCAGGGCATCTTGAGATGCTGACATTGCCATAGCAATAGCTAAAGCTTCCTCCTCTTCAGCTTCCATCTTTTCCTTGCATTTTTGATTATGATTTACATCATCTTTGTAAGTATCATCATTTTCTGCCCGCTCAGGAGAAAGAACTGCAACTTCAGACTTGAATGTAACTGTGCCATCATTTGTTGGCATGGAGGCCTCGAGCAGGTCCTCAATACTGGAGTTGAGCTCTGCATTAACATCCAACCGACATTTTTCATCTACTGGTGTGAACACTGTCTCTTCACTTGGTATGACTGCACCACTGCTACTACTAGTATTGCCATCGCACTGTGAAATATCATTCAGGTCAAGTGTCATACTGTTTTTTAAGGTTTCTCCCTGCTTGTTCCCATCACCTGGGGTGGGTCGTGATGGCTTTGGCCTGTGTATGTGACTGGATGGCAATGGCCTGGCTTGGGTAAAAACTGGAGAAAGTTTCTCTGATTCTTTATTTTCAGAACAGTTTCTCTGAAACTGGAGAGAAAGTTTCCGCTGTGATTGAGGAGAAGGTAAGGGGATTTTGCAGGGAATGAATCCCTGAGGTCTGACTTTAGAGACATCTGCTACAGTGCCAGCTGGTACAGATGGGTTTGAAGGAGACAGAAGCGTTGGGAATAGTGACTGGGAATGACCAGATGAGGGAGAAGAGTTCAAACACTGACTTTGGGGTTTTCCTTTCATTTGAATGGCTGGCTTTGGTTGCTCAGTGGTTACTGAAACGGGAAGTCCCACAGCAAGGCCAGCCAGCGTCTCAGAAATGTCCTCTGGACTGGCACTCATTTTTTTATCACTTGAACCTTTCCCACTTTTCCCTGATAACTGGACAGTATTGTTAGGAGTATTATTTTCTGTAGCTTCTGGAGAGTTATCTGGTACAGGTAGCTGCAAAAAGTCTTCATGTTGACATTCCCCAGAGTGCATTTCTTCCATGCCTAGCTGGATGGCTTCTGCAATTTCCATTTCATCTGCTATTGCCATCAGACGTCGACGCATCCTTGCATAATGAGTTGAGCTTGTCACACTCAACATTTCTAACAGCTTTACAAAAACATGGGGCACTCTTGCCACCATTCTTGCTGCGCTCAAAAATACTCTCCGTGATAGTTTACCAACCATTGAATGGGAATTGTCAATTGACTGCAAGGCGAAAGTCAAGAGGGAGAGAAGCTTCTTATACCTAAAAAAAGAGAAGAGGTGTTTTATATACTGATATGCTCTAGTTAACTAGTGCCCAGAAAGTAATTTCAAGACAGTGTATTTAGCTGGCAGTTCTGCAGTAGAAAGGACGCTTATTGGTGCACTGGTGCTTCAAAATTGTTCCACAGGTCAGTTTTTAAAAAAAGTCAACCGTTTACTCTATGAAGTGCACTTTTGCATATAAACATATACTATTTGTTTACAGGAATTAGAATTTTTTTTTTTTTTTAAGAAATCACCAACAACACATTCAACCATGAAGAATAATAGTCACATAGTAAGCAAGTACCTGTCTACTACGGTATCAGCCTGTAAAACATCCCCACAGACAATGTGGGGATAAAATTCTCCAGGAAATTCCAACAGAAGTCTGTCTATTAGACAGAGTCGCCCCAGTAGCGCTTGCCAGTTGCTAGATTCGGTTTGTGTTCCGAGAATACAATTTAAGACATAATCAACACCACCAATACCAATGGACCCTATAAAAAAAGTTGATAAATATTACATATTTTTATAATCTGTATCATACAGAAACACACATTGTGCACCCAAATTACCCCCCTCCCAAACTGCTGAGAGAAATACTGTTCTCTTTGCCATGCTGATATTGGATAAACCCTGTATTAAATTTAAAATGCTTCAGTATATTTGCTTGTAATTAGAATTCAATTATATATGAAAAGCTATTATTACCAGATTTAAGTATTTCTCTCCCAACTGCCAGCTCGCCTGCTTGGCCTTTACACATCTCCAATAGCGTTGAGACTGAAAGTTGACTTGTTCGACTGTAAGAAATTAAAACCAAAAAAAACCCCTTTTAGCAGACGTTTTCAAGGAAAAACATTCTAATAATTATATTTCAATAATCATTAACTTGGAATTGTGCATGGAAAATGACTTCACATCACTTTATTCCAATACATTTCTATAATATAATCTGTAAGCTACCAATAGCTGTGACATTTTTTACAAGGATACTTCCAGGGAAAGTAGTATCTATCAATAAACAAACAACAACCCAAATAGGACCTCAACCTCTTGCAAAAACAGGCCCACTCCAAGAATCCAGCAAACAAGGAACAGTTCTATTTCACTGATTCCTTGAACTTTAGATATTCTATTGCTAGACTATTGCCGGGGCATCTCTAGCTGCAGTTTCAGAAGAAATGCTGCTTAGGAACTAAACCTAAAGAAACAAAAATCAAGCTGGTGGACTTCTGCATCTAGTTTACAGTACACATGAAGAAACTGCTCATCTGGCAGAAGAAATGGGGTAGCTTGGGACAGGAAGAGAAGGCATACTAAGCTAGAAATGCCAAGGGCATTCACTCAGAATAGCCATCTTCTAACATTAGACTGTGAAACAAAAAGTAGAAGTGTTATGTTAACACTTCACAGCACAGATGTACAACAGCTTTCATTGAAGGAAACATACACGATTGGTACTTGCTGACTGCTTAAAGGTAAGTCACAAGAATTAGACCAAAGCAGTACCAACTGAGATGTAGAGGGTGGTCGATGACTGCACCTAACATCTTCCTTTATTTTAAGGGGGAAAAGAGGCCTTATGAAAGCAACGTATCATTTAAGATCTGTAAATGTTGGAAAAAATACAATCAGTGCCTTCAAAACCTACATCTTTCAAGCCAGAAGCTTGTTGGTAGCAATTAGACTTTAACAAAAAATGATATATTTATATTTATGGTCCACACGTTTTATTTCACCACTACCTATAAATGGTCTCCTCGTTTCACATAAATAGCAACAAATGAAGCTTCAAGACATTTCAGTAACAATCCAAAATGAATTTGAAGTTCATGAGACACCATACCTGTTGGCATCTGCACACTTAACTAATATCGTCTCTACAACTGGCTTGAGAAGTCGCTGTAGTTTAGTCCTCTCTGCCAAAGTGTGACAGGGAGTATACACCAGCATGGCTCTTAAAGTTTTCTAAGAGAAAGAAAAAAAGAAATACATATGAAATCAAATTAGCTACACAAATTTTAATTTTTTTAAGAGAGTTTTAAATAGTTTTATGTAAATTGCATTCCAAGTATCAGTGAAATGTCAAAAGGATATATAGCTTACTACATATTCACTGTTAGAATTAGTGATGTATTCTTTGAGATTGGGAAGAACCTAGTCATACAAGTACTGTTAATACTCAGCACAGTAGCAAGCATTTCCTTGTATTTGGACAGTGGAATCATGCCATTTCACTCACGCCGTTTCACTCTTGCTGAATATTTTGTTCATCCCGCTTTCAGATGACGATCAGAAGTTAAGTCATCAGTAGTGCTCAACAATTACAAGGATTCCTGACTTCATGGATCTCCTCCCTTCCCCTCCCCTTCAAAAATGAAGTCACCAGGAAATTACTAGAATACAATGAGTAAACAACTACTTACTAAAGCAGCAACATACACTTTGTAGACAGGGTCAGCACAGACCATGGACAGCACACTGCAGCAGGATTCCACCACCACATCTCCTGAGATACTGGTCTGAGATGACCCACTAGCTGCTCCCAGAGCTCCAGCACTTGTGTTGTTTCCATTGCTACTTCCAGAATTTCCAGTGCTTTCACCATTAGCCAGTAATAGAGCACCACTAACATCATGGGAAAGACGCCTAAGTGCCATCTCTCGTATATTCCAGTTTCGAGAAAACAAGCAGCCAACTAACTCCATTCCAAATACCTGCCAAGGAAAAAGCAATGTTACAGGAGTCAAATTGAATAATACTGCAACTTAAGTACCTAAGAAGAGCAATCAAAAAGAGTGAAGAAATGTTTCTGGTGAAAAATCACCTTAAGAAGTCTGACAGCAAAAACGTGTCAGAAAGTGCAGTGTCTTAAGACTCTGTGAAAGAAATGAAACATCATAAATGTTAAGTCATTGGTTCTCCAAAAACTCTGTTAAAAGAAGTGGGAAGATGACTCTACGGATGGTTTCGTGCACTTTGAATTTTAATTATTCAGTATGGAGTTTGTTTCTAGACATACAACCAAAACTAGAGTTAAGAACACTACGTTTTATTACATGATCCTTTAATATTAGACCTGAAATGAAGTCCAAAACTGAAACCCCAGTTAAAACAAGAGTAGAAAACCTTCTCTTCTAATGCAAGTTAAATAAAATTCTTTCCAATAATAATCAACCATAAAGATTCAGAATAAATTTTTGAATTGTTGATCTGAAAAATCTAGCAAAACAGCTCAAAATCGGTACATTTGAAGCTATTTTTACAAAGTAAAATTACCTGTATCCAAGGCTCAGCTAAATCTTTATAGGCAGAAGGGATCTGCTGGACCCCATAATGAGTAAGGTTAAAATTGCTATCTTGGGTTCTTCTCTGAGATCCAGCTGTAGATTGCTGCTGAGTTTGTTGCTGAACCACACGGAGAACAGAAGAATCCACAGGGCTTGGCAATTCATGACTACAAGATTAAAAACAAATAATGTGGATTAACAAATGAAACATTTACTGAAGTAAATACTTGAGCATATTTAGGAACATCAACTAAAGACCCAGAAACAGACAGTTCATTATACACAGACTGAATCCTTACCTATAGAAATCATGAGATCTCCATTTAGATCTACAAAGAGGACAGATAAGTGGCTCTCTGTTTCTTCTGCATTCTTCTGCCCCTGGAGCACAGAAACAGCGTAATACATACTTCAGTTTTACAGCGTATAAAAACAGAAGATGTCATTACTATTTCTAAGTTTTATTGAAGAATGTTAGTTTCAGCATAAATGCTTCAGAACTGCGCCATTTGCAGCTCAAGACTGAAAAATATGGGCATTTAGACATTGTTTGCATGCAGAAATGCTTTAGTTTAGCACTACAATTAATATTAAAAGTTATGAACTGAAAAATGCAGTTCCTTTTGTACCTTAAACATAGGCAATACTTTTTCAAAAGTATTAAAACATGGGAGGTGAAATTTTATTTGTTAAAGCAAACTGTAACTATTTATATACTTTATTTAACGTAGTATGTAAGCACACTCCGTACTTCACTATATAATCCTAGCTGATAGCAGACGACTTTCATGCACGCTAATCACAAGTCACAGGGACTAAACGTCTGTTCCTAACCTTGCTCTAACCGGACATAATCTTTTCACTCACGTAAAAGAGGCTCAAATGTCTAGCCCTGCAGTTAACTTCTTTCTCAAAGTATCAAATTACAAACTTGATTTGTGAGTAATTGATAAAACAAGGCATATCAATAGTACCTGAATGATACCAAACACTCTCAAAGAGCTACCAGTCATCACTTACAAACAGGTTTCTGGTTTTGGTTGTCGTGTTTTGTTTTTGTTTTTTTGTTTGTTTTGGTTTGTTGGGGTTTAGGGTTTTTTTTACTTTTAAAACAAACAAACAAAAAAACCCAATGAAAATACACCAAGTTATAATACTTTCACATATTTAGAGTCACCAGAACTTAAGACAAAGATGTCAACATACATATTGACATGCAGTGGTGGTGTAATTTGTTCCTGCAGCCATCTTCACACACAGTTAGGCTCTCTTCATCCAGCATGCCTAACAAGCAAATGGGGCACATCTGTTCTTCTTCATCCTTCATACTACAGAAATAGATATTTGTGATTGTGAAAGTGGGAGATCAGAATTCAGAACAGGTTTTAACAGTGAAAAAAGATTAACTTCCAGTTTGGAACAGTCACTTCCGAATAACTATAGGCTATTCATGAATCATTCTCCTAAACCTTGGTCTGAATAAGTAAGCAACCAAATTTTTAGAAGCACTGAGTACAGACAACACTTTGTTGAACTGAAAGGGAAAGTCACAAAATGCATGACATCTTTTCAAACTAGGTCAGATACCAATTAGAGATTGAAAGGCCCGGCCTTGGGCACTTACATTTTTTTCCCTAGGGCTTCTTTAAACAAACCAACCTTTGCTTTTTTACTTATTTGGTTTTGAAAAACTAAGGACTTTTTATATTTTGAAAGCTACCCACATTTTTCTTCCAAACACACTCATTTCAGAGTACTGAATCACAAGGCAGTCTTCAGCCCCTTACAGGAAACTGCAAATACTATTTGATGAAAATATGTAAAACTCAAAAAATTAACAGAAGGTAACAGACACTCAAGAATTTTCTGCCACTAACAGAAATAGATACAATAGTTTCACATGAACACGTCACATGTAGATTTAAAAAAAAAACCAAAAAACAAACCCAAAATATTTTCCCCATTTTACAGGTTGCTTCCATTCTATTTACTACCCCTTAATTTTTAAATGGATATAACCAGAGATTTCACCAGAAAAATTATTCTGAACTTAGGCAACATGTAGTAAAAGCCACATTTTAATCTTCTGTAATATTGTTTAAATGTTAACAATTTTTTAACGTTAAAAACTCGTACTATTAATAACAAAAATTTAAGTTATGGTTGATGTATGTCTAGAAGTTTGCAGGAACCTTGTATTTGTTCACCAATAATATATTTTTAAAATAAAATTAATTTGTATATACATTATTTCTATACACATATATTCAACTTCTATTTCCTTGCAAATGGTTGACACTATCTTTTTTCCTTGAAAAATCCACAAAAATTAGCTTACAGTGAAAAAAATCGTTTCCACAGCACATACAGAAACACAAGTATTGATTTAAAACTTATTTTTTAAGAATTAGTAGTAAACAAAAAGTAATTGCAAGTCACAGTAATTATCAGAACTTTTATCTCAAATGAATCTGATGTTCAGTGTTCTCCAATACTTATAATCATGCAAGATCAGACTTGCACTGAACAGCAACTTATCTCATTGAACCAGCAATGCTAGGAACTAATGATCGTGTACTGGCAAACAACTGAAAAATCTTTCAGCCTGTAAAAAATGAGAACTAGTGCTGTGAAGTTCACAATCCAGTGAAGCTAAGGAACTGATACACAAGGAACTGATTTGCCAGATAAGTAGTCCCAGAGTAGATATATATAATTAACTGCTTTGTTTATGCAATTTATTTACAGTGACACAATTTGGCAATTTGGAAAAATAATTAAAAGATGATGGGACATTAAGGCCAGGCCACAATCTGTACATCAGATTCTTTTCACAACTCTACTTAACATTTTTCAAACAGAAGTTATAAAGCAAATATATCCACTTGGTACCATGATGACTAATGTATGCTTGACTCAATTGTTTGCAAATACAGAGACTTAACGTAGCTTGAAATGAAAGCAGCTTTGAACAAAAAGAATGTAGGTGATTCTAAACCTTGAAAATTAGAAGAAGACTACAGAATAAAGCTTTTAATTCCTTTAGAAAAATACTAACCTGTTTTCTGAACTAGATGTAGAAGTACTAGATGATGACAATGTATGAGAATTTGACATGCGTGAGACAAACTTCTGGATGGTGTTACGAGATGGAGCTTTGATCCTCGAGCTACGCCTACTGTGATATTTCTGGAACAAACTCTCAACCTAACATCAGAAAAAGATAGCAACAGTCGTATTTATGCTATGAATAGCTTGTAATTAAAAGCAATATTACTGAAGCTTAACTACTG